ACACATATATACATATACACATATATATATAAATATTCATAAATATATTCATAAATATATATACATACATACATACATATACATATATACACATATATATATAAATATTCATAAATATATATACATACATACATATACATATATACACATATATACATATATACATACATATATATGTATATACACACAAATACACATATACATATGTCAGATGATTGCCAAACACTTGAAGAGTGGAGTCGGTTGTGCTATCTGTGGCCAGTAGACGGCGACATTCTGCAGAAAAGAAAAGAAAAACAGCTTATATGGTGATTATTACATAAAGAACGCACAAGAGACAACATTTAAACCCGAGAAGACTAAATGAGTTGAATTGTATTTGCTCAATGAAATAACAGACAAACTGAGTGGAAAAAAAAATAATAATTTTTTTTTTTTTTTTTTTTTTTAAATACAAAAAGAGACGCAGGCTGTGTATTTGTAACAGCCCTCCGCTTTATTGAAATACATCGGAGTCAGGTTAATATAATGAGTTCTCCACTCTAGTGTGGCAGCCAGTTCCATACATTATTTTTTGTTTTGACCTTACACCTTAAATATTTCTTGTGCAAAAAAAGAATCTACATCACCTGTAGTGGGTTATCCTCAGTAAAACACCCAAACCGTTCAAAAAGGAGCAAGTCCAAGAAAAACAACAAACCGAAAAAACAAAATGATTACATCTATAACATGCAAAACTGTACAAATTATTACAAAGCAATCCTAAAAAAAAAAAAAAAAAAGGTGTAATATGATATGAAAGAGCAAAATAATATAGAAGGTAGGGGTGGATAAGACCTCACTGAAATGCAAAGGCGTTCGACTCTTCCTAAAATCATTTTCTTTCTCTACACGTTCAGACTGTGGCACCTCATCATCCTTCAACCTGAATCACTAGATCTTTTCTATCCTCTCTCTCTCTCTCTCGCTCTCTTTCCTCCTGGGTCACATCTACTGTACATTACACACTCATCCATCCATCCATCCATCCTCCCACCTTTCATTCTCTCGTCTAAAGGAAAAATTATTCATTGGTTTTGACGTTTCCTGAGTTTCTCTTCACTCACTGTAGCCACAGACAGTAGGAAATCTGGCTTTTCTGTACAACACCAGGTTGAGAGGAGGAGGGGGCGGGATTTTTTCGTTCTCTATCAGTGATTCTACATTCTACACGAGAACTCCAACAGGCGGAACAACTGGCATTAAATAACGTTCTGATAGCAGTTATGGATATTTGGGATGACAGCAGCGTTCTCTCTCAGTCCGGATGCTTTTTACGCCTACGTCCAACGAGCAGAAAGTGAAACAAAACAAAAAAAGAAGACTTGGAATGAGTCGTGAATTACAACAGTTAGTGTTTGAACGCTGTGAACGTAAATGTTTCTGTTGGGGATAAAGCGGAGAACTGTGACCCAGGACACTGAACTGTAAAAGCATCCTCCCTCAACAACAGGGGGCCTCTGTCACAAATACACAGTGTGCTTTCATTCCACTCACGACAGCAGGGCTCAACGTTTTGCCCGAGCGCCTCATCTTTAGCTCATGATCGGCAGGAAGTAAATGAAGACTTTTTTTTTTCTTTTCTCCTCTTTTAGTCGAGTATTCTGTACGCAGCCTGGAGGAGCAGCAACTGTAAAAAACGAAACAAAAAAAAAAAAACAAATCCTGAAATCCAGCTTTTGTTCACACACACGACAAACTTTTTCGTGTCCGTTACAAAACTAAGTGCCGACTTTCGTCTCAGCTCTGACGTATTAGCGCGTTTCTATGTATTTGTTAAAGTTATTTTAAAGAGCCGTCGCCACATGACGCTCATCATTAGAGTATTTTCAGGACAAAAAAAAAAAATGACTGATCTCAGAGCAGTTCACCCAGGTGCCACAGAGAAAAAAAAAACAGGAACCCTCACACAGAGTCACATGATGAGCCACTGACGGTCAGAGAACAAAACAGGACAAACAAACGGCTACGTCAGTGCGCGCGTGTGTGTGTTAGAGAGATAAACGCACGTTCACTCTACCATGCAAACAGTAGTGTGTTGCTTTTCGTCACTCGAAATCAAACAGAGTGGGGGAAAAAAAAAAGTGTCGTACATACGATAAAATAAAACAAACAAAAAAAAACAAATCTAAAATCCAATGTTAAAAAAAAATTCGTTTAAAATGGCTTTTGCGTGTGGATACAACCTTAAATCACTAAAAACAAACAAAGTAAAAAAAAAAAAATTCTTTCCTGTGTAGTTTTCTTCTCTACATGATCATATATTAACTCTCTACTTATGTACATGACTGCAGTGGATCATGGGATTCGGTCACTTTGGTTTTTTTTTTACGGCAAAGTGAAAACGTCTACGCTACGCGGCGGAGGACTGATGATGTCGCTGCCACCGGACCAATGAGGAGGAGGAAGAGCAGCACAGTGGAAAGGAGCCATGACGGTCGTGTGACTGTGATCGGTAGCTTCGAACTGAGGGTCGAAATGAATTAAAAAAATGAAAATAAAACAGTTATAAAGTCACTGCACTTAGTTTTCATAAGCAAAGTAAAAAAAAAAAAAAAAAAATAGTGTTTCCTCACTTTCTCTTCTATTTTTTTTTTTCATTTTAAATTTTTTTTTTAAACTTTTTTTTTTTTTTTTTTGCAGTTTTTTTGCAGCACCCAAAGAGAAAGCAACTGAGGGGAGGAGGAGGAGGAGGAGGAAGAGGAGGAGCTGCAGCTCCGTCCGTCTGCTCTGAAAGTCCCCGTCCTCGTCTAGAGATTGATAAATAAATTAAAACGTCGTCGTCCCCTAAAACCCAGAGGGCGGTATGTACAAGTACAAATCTTTTTCTTTTTTTTCTCTTACAATGATCATTTTCTCTGTGGCTGAATATAGGGGTTGTGGGCAGGGTCCTGTCAAAAGTTTTGTTTTTTTTTTATATCCATACACGCGCACACACATACAACCTCTCTTTATCTCTCTCTCTCTCTCTCTCTCTCCCCCACTCTCTCGCACACACACACACCCAAACCCCTCAAACATCTGGCCCACGTGGACTACAGCTGCGTCAGACCGGTGCGGAGGCTATGAGACGGGACGAACGCCCACAAGGGGGCGGTGTGTTGATGACGACGGTGCAGTTCTCTGGGCAGTGAGGGAGGATGGTAAGA